CTGCAAAAATCAATCAATCAATTTCTTAAAAAGCATGATACTCTGGCCAGGGAGTTTTCTGGGGTTTCCGCCCTAGCAGTGGGTCGAGAGGAGCAGAAGAGCCCTGGGTGTGCACAAAGGTGGCCTGAGGGAGTGGAGACCCCGGAGCTGGGAGGGGCAGTGGAGAATGGGAGTTTCAAGCTCCACCACACACTTCAGGACTTGAAACTGCCAATTCCAAACTTCTTTTCACAAGAAAATGTGCTGGCTGTGGTGCCTCATGCTTGTGAGCCAAGCACTCAGGAGGCTGAGGCAGGAGGACCCAAGCCAGCCGGGGCTACACAGCGAGACCCCGTTTCAAAAAACAAAACAGGGCCTAGGGTCAAGTGTGAGGCCTTGGATTTGACCCCCAGAACTTCAAAAAACAAAACCAAGAGATGCCCGGGTGTGCTCCAGCCTATAGAGTTTAGTCTTTCCAGGATGAGGTTGACTAAGTGGAATTCTTTATTTTTAAATCTTCAGGTGATTTTGAGCTGTGACAGGTTTTAAAGTCCTAAGAATTACTGGTTTCTATTTAGTGTAAGACCTTTTAGAAGAAATTAAGCAGTGACACCAAAATTAAAATTCTCATAGATTGCTTAACGGTTAGCTGGTTGGTAAATTTAGACTTTCAGAGGGAATCTGAAGCAATTGAGAAAATGAGCTCCTCACAAAGTTAGAAAAACCAAGCCAGGCATGGTGGTGCACGCCTGTAATCCCAGCACTCAGGAGCCTGAGGCAGGAGGATCGTTGTGAGTTCAAGACAAGCTTGAGCTACAAAGTGAGCTCAAGGCCAGCCCGAACTGTATAGCGAGGCCCTGCCTCAAAAAGACAAAAAAAAAAGACAAAAAAAAGACAAAGAAAAACTATATAAAATGTACCCTGTGCATTTATCAGGAAGATGCCAGTGACCGATTAGGCTTGTCAGTCTCACGAGTGCAAAGGGAACTGGGTGGGAAATAGCCTGGTGTGGGCTCCTGTTCCCGCGCAGAGTTCTTCTGGACTCCTTATGGAATCTCTTTAGAATTAGTACGCTCGAGATCTGACTAGTCCCTGAGGAGATACAAATAAAATGTGCTAGCACTTTTGTCTGTTAAGGGCACAAAGCAAGCCGGTGCGAGGAGGCTGTAGACCGGGTATGGACGGAGCACTGGCTTAGGAAGTGTGAGGCCCTGGATTTGACCCCCAGCCCTGCAGAAATAGAAAGCAAACAAAACCCAGCTGGTACTCACTGGGCAATCCCGGCACTCTGGGAGGCCGAGGCAGGAGGATCCTAATTTTGAGTCCTGTTTGGGCAATTTAGTAAGATACCGTCTCAGAATGAAAAATAAAAACGGGCTGGGGATGTAGCTCAGTGCAAAGGCTCTGGGTTCAGTCTCCAGTACCATGCACACGCAGATGCACACACACTCACATCCAGACACGCACACAGGCTGTAGACACCCAGACACACACACACACACACACACACACACACACAGGCTGTCTCTCTGGCGGAGGTGTGGCCTCTTCCGGCCCATCTCCTGGGGCTGAGAGGTGGGATGGTGGCCCTTGCTGTCCGCTGTGGCATGAGAGCTGGAAAGCAGCCCCCCAGAAGAGGCCACATCTCGAAGCTCTGCCTCCAGGTGACATCTTGGCCGCAGGTGCGCGGGGACCTGCAGGAGCCAGGCAGGTGTGCCCGGAGGGGTGCTGGCCACAGCTCCTGACTGCCCGCGCGCCCCGGGGTGTTGCTGTCCACCTGGTTGTATGTGCAACCATTTGAAGATAACATTATGTGCTATAACGACCATTGTTAATATCCTATCACCTTGTTTTGAAATTCTGTATCATTTTTATTGTTCTCTATGCTGTTTTGTTTATGTATTTGTTTTTGTTTTTTGGGTTTTTTTGTTT